TGGTCTGGATGTTGTCCTGTGTCCTGTGGTCTCTATTTTAGGAAGATTTTTCTTTGTTATATTTTCATAGCTCTTTGTGTTTTTGGGAGGAGATTTCCACTGCTCTACTCACGCCTCCATCCTGGCTCCGCCCCCATATTTATATATTTTTAATGCTGTTAAAAAGAAATACACAGGCCCAACATGGTGTCACTTCTGCTAGGCCAAGTCACAAAAACAGGGCCTCATACTTAAATCCAATTACAGTTTCAACCTCCCCCAGAAATAGAGTCAGTCAGGAATTTTCTGATCAGCATCACTGATAAGATAATCTGTCACATGAGCTTTCTCCATCTTCCATAAAAGAAGACAGAATAATCTACATTATAAGGCCCCCTGCTCTTCCCCCTAAGAGAAAGTGACCTTGCCTGAAACAATCCCTTCTTTTCTTCTGTGAGTAGCTTTTTCCCCACCTTCCTGTCTATAAAAACTTTACATTTTGTACAGTTCTTCGGAGTAGCTCCTTACTTGCTAGAGGAGATGCTGACCAGATTCATGATTTGCTTAAAAAAGCCAGTTAGATCTTGAAATGTACTTGGATGAATTTTGATTTTTTTTTAGTTTTGAAGTAAATTTTGCTATAATTAAAGAAAACCTATTCAGCAAGTACAATGTACATGGATTTATGGTCCAAATATTACCAGCATATAATTTTGTAAAGTTATTTCTTAAACATAGGATCTAAAAATGCAAAGAAAATGGAATTTGTATTCAAAACAAACAGATGCAACACTGGCTCCTATATGCTAAAAATATATGATAGACTTTTTTCTTAAGCACTTAGATACAAATATTAACTGTATGGGTTGAGAACTTTTAATTATCAATATAGTTCAACAAGGTACACAAGTAGAGCTCTATAAATATATTCCTATAATAACATGTAAAACCATTTATCACAAATACTATCAAAACCCTCTGAAAAATGTAAAGTACAAACACATTTTTAAGGAAATTCTCAGTTTTAACAACTACAAAAGCAACTAATATCAAATGAAGTTATTTGGTTTAAAAAAAAATGAAGGGCAGTAATGTAAATCCAAATACTGCAAAGTTGTTTTTTGAAGATGTAGTCTTGAGTTTAATACAAGGTACTTAACACTTTCAAAAATAATAATCACTTATTCTATGCTATTTTAAAGTCTTCAAAGAAAAAGTTAAGCAGTAGATGAAAAACAGGTATGTAGAAATAATGGTATAAAATGTTTTTATACAAAATGTACCACTCTTCAAATATATAAGGCTTAACATAGTCTATAGGCACACACCTGATCATCTACAATTGCTCTCTTACAACATTAAACTGTTTTCTACCTTTATCTTGCATCTACCTACCACTTAAGCATTTTATTAAAAATAAAAAAATAATAATAATAAAGGGAGAAATGTGGGATCCACATATAAATCAAGTATAAAAATCAAACGAATATTCATATTTGACCTGATTGTTTATAGTTCATAAGGCGTGATCAAAACCGAAAGTTTCTGTGATGACTGCCCTTGTACTGTTCACCATGTAAGAACTTATTCACTATGTAAGAATT